GGTCCCCTCCGTGCACCCCACTCCCCTCTTAGCTGTTCCCCTTTATTCCTCTCTCCCTGCTCCCCCCCTCCTCGCCCCCCCAGCTCCTAGCACTCGATCCAGCAGGCAGGGGTTATCCAGCAGGCAGGGGTTTCCCCACGGCAGGGCACAGATCTTCAAGGTCCTCTGTAGCCACTGATGCCCCACTTCCATTTTAGTGCTGGTGATGGGCACCCCCCCCCTCAAGTCCCATCCCCTCTTGCCTCTCCCACGTGCCTCCCGGGAACCCAAGGGACCTGGAGCTGTTCCATTTTTCTCTCCTACACCCTTAGGATGGTAGTGGTGGGTGGTGATGGCTCCTCTTGTGTGTGCAGTTTGGGGGAGATTAGAAGGAATTGCTTTGAGCTTCCCTGATCCTCACAGTCGTCCTCGTTCCAGTCTCTTCTCTTGTTTCACGCCTGCTTTCTGAGAGGAAGCTTTAAAAGTCCCTTTCCCCCTTCTCCTTGGTGTTACGAGTGCAGGGAAGGCTACTGCTGCTCCTGCTTCGACTGCAGGGCCTGAGGAGGAAAGGGAGACATGAGGGCCCTTTAAAAGGAGCATGACCCAAACACAGAGCAAGATTGTCAGTGGCCTTTCTCTGGGTGTGTTTGTGTTCACTGTTTGTTCCCCACGCCCCATGGTGTCTCCTCTCCAGGTTGGGGTGTGTGGTGGGGGGGTCGCTATGTCGGATGACGATTCAAGGGCCAGCACCAGCTCCTCCTCATCTTCATCCTCCAACCAACAGACAGAGAAAGAGACAAGCACGCCTAAGAAGAAGGAAAGCAAAGTCAGCATGAGTAAAAACTCTAAGCTGCTATCTACCAGTGCCAAGAGGTGAGGCTGCAGTCAGTTTTCTCACTGATTCACTGCATCTTCTCTCCTTCCTCATTTTATTTTGCTCCGTTCCGCCACTGCTCCCTTACTGCTCCCATTCTTCATCTATAGCCGTTATGCTCAACCTTACCACACGAAGCTGCCATTGTCTCACTTTTTTCAGCGTCTCAGTGCAGCAAGTGTCCGCCCAAATTCACTGCTCTCTGGTCTCCCTCTCTTCCTGCTTCTTCCTCTGTTGCATCCCAAATATTTTCCTGTCTTTTATTTCTGTGGGATCTTAGTCGGTCCCTCAGCTATTTCCCCTGTCTTTCCCTTTTTCTTTGTTAGCATCAGTAATAGGTACGGTGTAGGATTGGTATGTAACACCTTAATTTCTTATCTGCTGCTAGAAGCTGTATGGTCCTGAGTAAGGCATTGAATTTCAATGTCACTTTCCCTCTTTGTAGGTTGGGATTGATCTAGAGTGACTTTCCAGGACTGCTTTGGGGATTAATTAGTGTTTGTGAAGAGTTTTGGGTTTGCTTGCAGTGGGGGAGTGCACTCCAGTGCAAGTGGTGTAATATAGCCTCAAGTCTTTTTGACCAAATATATTACTCTTTTTCTGTCTGCTCATCACTTACATTGAATTTTCTGTATATGGTTGGATGTTGACAAGAATAAATAATCCACAGCAGGTCCACTTGTGGACATTCTGCTCTAAAATAGTTTTTGCTCACAGCGAAGAGTGGGTTGGGTTTTTTTTGAGAATGAAATAAATTTTATGCCAGCATAATTGGGGAGAGATGCCTGTGTAGAATAGCAATTCCATAACAGCTACATCAGTCGGTTTTCTTCACCTGGACAGACTCTGGGAGCCACTCAGTTTTTTAAAAAAAAAAAAAAAAAAAAAAAAAAAAAAGTTACCCTTTCTTATTTATTCTGTGTTTCACCTGAATTCAGCACTATCCTGTTCTAGGGAGCTAAGCTGACAAATGGAAGTTTTCAAGCAAACTTGCAGTACTTCAGTAAGAGTAATAAACCATCCCACAGAACAGCTTTGCCAAGCAGTACAGAGAGCTTGTGTCTGTACGTGTCAAAAGTGACTGGGGTATTATGCAAATACCCTGTCATCACAACTAAGTTTTCTGTGGCTTTGTAGAATTTGGGCAGTTTGGTTACTCCGCATCTCCACTCAGCAGGTTTCCATGGCAAACTGACATAGATAGTGGCAAGTGGTATTTACATGTCGTGCCCTTAACTATTTATAAAAGAAGATTGTAAACTGCCTAATACGAAAAGGCTGTGGTTCTCACGTATGACAAGTGGCAAAGAGGCAGAAGATGCTGTCTGAGTTTAAGGAGAAGAGAAGCAGACTGAGTGCGGGGTGGGGAGATCGTGAGGAGAAGCCTGAGTGACAGTAATGGGACTCCAGGGAAGGGGATGATAGCTGGTTGGGCGCTTTGTGGCAAAATCAGTGTGAGCCCAGAATAGTCTGGGTAGGGAGGATGGGGTGTTGTCTGAACGTGGTGAAGAGAGGGAGCGTCTGGAGTCCTGAGGGAGGGGACGTGGGGATGTTGTTGGCTCTTGAGGGTGAAGAGAGGGGAGAATTGAAGGTGGCAGGAATGTGCAGAAACCTTGGAAATAGGTACTCAGCTTCCTTTAAGTGTCCTTGGGAATGGTGCAGTTATTCACTCCCTTGGGACTGGTGTTTTTTCTCAGGACAGTGATGGGAAGCTGAGGGGGAGAGAAGGGGAACTGATTTGACGATTACTGTTTCTCTCAATCCAGCAAGAAAAAATTCCTTTTCAGACTGCATTTTCCTCCTAGCACTTGGTGCATCACATTTGCAGAGGTTTTCCCTCATTTACAGGCTGGTTGGCAGAGTAAAGCAGACAGTCTTTTCCATTGCCCCTGTGTGGCTGGCATCTTTATGGGAGCATACAGCAGTACACCTGCCTGGGTTCAGTGCACGGTGCCTGTCTGCTTTTCTGTCCAGCTCTGTAACAGGGCATCTGTCCTGCTTAGTGTGTTTGACCGGTGGGAGGCTGCAGCTGAGTGTGCCTCTCTCTTATGTAGTGTTGCAAACTCATGGTGACAGTATGTCTGTAAAGCGTAAGTGTTAACAGCTATCCCACGCAGCGACTTACCTTTGTTCCTTCTTGCTTTTATTGCCACAGGATTCAGAAGGAATTGGCTGACATCACCTTAGATCCACCTCCCAACTGCAGGTCGGTGTCAGTTCCTTCCCTGAGGAGGGTGGGGGGACGGTGAGGGGCTGAAGTGTGCCTTTGTATGTTGTAACTGTCCTCAGAGGTTCTGGACAGGGCAGAGGAATGGCTGTTTAGGTGGCCAACAGTACTTCTGTGAATGCATGGATGACATTAAATAGTTTCCAGGTGGGGGGGGCGGGCCTCCAGAGATTTTATGTACTTTGATATGAGTTTTTTTGTTTGTTTTGGGAGTTGGTTTTGGTTTTTTTAACAGCTGCATTTCAGTCTGTTATACTGCTTTGTGTCTATGTTTCTGAAACTGGCCTATAAAGAAGAGTGTGAAAACTTTCTCCTTGTTTGTTTTTTCTGGTTTATAAATCTAACGCCTGACTGCACTAATCTTATATAAATAAGAGTCCTGCCAAGGAAGCAGAGAATAGTAAAATGCTATGAGCTTTTTAGCTCAGAGTGTTCTGTTGTGAACAGTAACTCACAGTGGAAGAGAAGCGCGAATTTGTCACTCAGTGGGTGCCCTACAGGAGCACACGTGTTAGCTGATGAAATAACAAGCAGGGATACTCTGTTGCCCTTTATAGAGCAGCTTGATTTTAAGTATGTTTTAGAAACTTGTACTGTTTGTTTAAAGCATCTAGCAGGTTGATTTGGTTCATTGCATGATGGCCCAAGCCGCTTTGCATTTGGAGAGGAGACAGTAGTAGCGTAACATCTTTGGTTGTGCTTGCTCATTCAAGAGGAAAGATACTTTCGGTCCCGTCTGTGTTCGCTGTAGTTGCCAAAGCGTGGCTCTGTTCCTATCTTCTTTCTGTGGCTGAAGTTTGAGGCCTTTCGATATGGGTAATAGCAGTGATGAGAATTCTGTTTATAAATAACTATTTAAGTTGGTCTTTTTAGTATTGGGTTGTCACCTACAAATGCAAATGGACCTTTTTATTGAAGCTTTTTGCTGCTATTAGTCTGCAAAGAGGCATTAGCACAAACGTTATCCTGACAGGTCCAGAGCTACCCTTTCAGTACCAGTCCCAAGGATCATAATTAATGAGAGGTGGGATAAGGCATGTGAGTGGAGGTCTAGGCAGATACTAAGATTTTTGTGCTGTTTGCAAGATAACCAATGAGCTTTGAAATCTTTAGCCATGACAATATTGTTTTAGTGACAATAACAACTACCTGAATATTACAAGAACATCCAGCTTTTGGGCTGCAGGTTTCTGTCCTGTCTAGATCCTGTCTCTGTGTCAGGATGAAGTCAACATGCTTTCCCCTCCTCCTCCCACCATACCCTGATTTTCATGGGAAAGAAACCCAGAAGCACAGCTCGGAAAGGCACTGTAGCTTGCTCTGTAGATCGTCTGGATGATCAAGGTGCTGAGACTGCAGTCTGAACTTTGCAAATCTATCCAAAAGTTGTGATAGTATATGGGTATTTCAGATTGCAGGCCGTATTCAGAGGTTTGTGTAAATAATATTAGAACACTACTTTGTCCTTGTTTCAACTGGCATTGTTCACAGGTAAAGATAAGCTAGCAGATTACCTGTCAAAATAGAATATGGTAGAATATGGTTGTGATTTTTCTTTTTTAATTACATAGACCGCTGAAGATAATGCGCCTCAAGGCCCACATAGTAAGTTTGTGTTGTTTCAGCCTTTATAAATATTTCTAATAGTAGAAATTAGTTCATAGTACAAGTAGTGATGGTTAATCTTCACCTATAATGCAATTACAAGTATTCTGCATTCCTTCCAACCTTCAAATGAGTTACATACAGTGAATGCTGGCAACTCTTGCAAATAATACATGAAACTGGTGTAATTGCTACTGTCTCTTAATATGTTGATAGGAAGGAAAACGTGAATGGAGGGCTTTGTGTGTGTGTGTGACCAAAGGAGTTTTGCTATTGCTCATCTTGGGGTGAGGTCATCCTACTTCACTGAAGATAGTGCTGAGGGTGAAGAACAGCTCTGCTTACGGTTAACGAGGTTCCAGTTGCACAGTCAAGCATCAGGAGTTTGCTTCTCTGGCAGCTGGTTTGTAAAAGGTTAGGCACATACTGATTTCCAGCAACACTGAGATGAGTTTCGGCTATCGCAGTTACAGGAAAAGTTCACCTCTTGTGGAAAAAGCAATAGAAATAGTAAATTTGGGAGTGTGAGGAGATTAAGCAAGTGAGAAACTCTGGTTGCTTTGTGATGTTTAAGGTTGCCAAAATTTGCTCTGGGGAAGCCTGCTAACAGTGTCACTGCTTTCCTTTTATTTTTTTTTCTTTTGTATGAATGTTATTAGCATGCTGTGAGTGAAGTATTAAATACATAGTTCCAGAACTTAGTTTCAATTTCCTTCATGACTTTGCTTATCCTCACCTTTCCTCTGACCTCCAGCCCCTCATCTCTCGGCTGCCTTTGTGCCTTTGCAGATTTTTTCAGGTGTCCTTGGTGGCGGGAGCGTGGGGGGCAGTCCTTTCAGGCATCTTACTCTCTCCTGCAAGACTATTCTCAAAACTTATGTATTCAGGGATCTATATACAATGCCAGGTACTACCTATTCTGCTGTCAAAGTCTCAGAAGTCACATTTAAATATGTGCACCCGAAACTGTATCCTGTGTTATGTTGGAAATGTCATGTTCTTTTTTCTACTGGATGTTTGTTCTTGTACCCCTCACCACCACTTTTGTATTTTCCCCTGTTCTGGGCCCTGCCCGGTGTTTGATGGCAGTTCATTGTTGGCTGTGCTTTAATTTTTGGCCTCATTGCAAAGGGCTGTTCTTCTTCCAGTCTTATTGCAGTAATGGGAGTTCAAGATATTTAACACATCCCAGAGCAGCTCCACATATTGAAAGCAAAAGCTTTAGGTTGTAATATGATTTTTAGTAAGAGCTGTTTTATTTTTCTTCTTATAAAACACCACATATAAGATGCAATTACAAATAATGAAACCATTTGATATTTCAAACAAAATAACTTAAAAGCAAATGAGTTTCATTTTTATTTTTGTAGCTTGCAGTGACCGTATTTTCATGTGTGTAACCTACAGATCATCTGCTTAAAAAAAAACCCCTAAAAACCAAATCCCAGACACACTCAACACTCTCTGATTGAGCAGCTATGCGGGTTTTACACATGTGTGGGTAGTGTGAGGGGAAGTTTATCCCAGAACTTCCTCTCCCCGCAGTAGTTGCCTTGCTTCTGGTTTTCCATAGCTTGCCAGTGTCCCCCAAATGCTTGCCTGTGGTCATCTCTCATTGACAGCTTCATAATCTCTTGTAGTCCCTTTGCCCCTCATGTTTCCCTCCGCAGGCTGTGATTTTGGTTTTACGCAGTTTAGTACTGTTACTTCTACAGAGGTGCAGGATATGCGCATGGAAATGCAGTATATGCTTGGCCTGCATTTACAATATAGGTTTTTGGACTTGAAGACAATTTCTAAAAAAGATATATTTAATATACTTTAAAAATTTGTGGATTCCTGATGGAGGCAATGCTGTCCTCGTAACAGTCCTAGTGTAGTGCATGTGTAGCGTTTGTTTGCTTCTGAATGGTTCTTACCCTCTTCATAGTTTTCAGTAGGCTGGCGCTCTAGCGGTCTTTACTTTTCTGTTTTCCACAAGATGATTTGACTTCTGATGTTAATACTGAGTTATGAAAGTTCAATGTGGGTTTCAAGTTCAAAAGGTGGTTAGTGGTTAATATAAATTGGAGGATAACTGTTTGGACCTAAAGTATTTTAAATCTTTTAAGAGGGTACGTGAGGATTTATTCTTCAACTTGGTATAATATCAGAAATTTTTAAACTCTTTTTAGAACTCAAAGAAGGTACCCAGACACTGGACTTCTGGTCTTCTGTGTATGTTGGTGATAGAGGAGTATGTCGTGTCTTTGTGTTGGGTCATGGAAGTCTGTGTCCACGATCGTCTGCAGATGTCAAAATACGGTTCCATCTTGCTGTGTAGGCAGACCTTATCTCTGTAGATAACGCTTGTGAGTACTGTGCAAATGCTTTGCTTCTGTCACTGTGACGAGGTTTCCAGAGCTTTAACAGAAGTTAATTAAAGCTTCAAGTACTGTTCATTCTCTTTATGTCATTTATTTGACCTCCATATCTAAGCATCTCCTGATAGTAAATCTGCTATTTGCTGTGATGTTATGAAATAAATGTTTTAGGGGTGGGGAGTTGCAGCACACAAAAACCAAGTGACTTGTCCAAGGTCATGCAGGAGGTCTGTGGTGAAGTGGAGAAAATAATGTAGATCTCCTTTGTTTCAGGCTAACTTGCAGCTGAGCTCTTCTCCTGGAACTGTGCGTGTTGGTTGCGTTATGAGCAGGGCTTTGAATCTGTGCTTTATTGGGTGTATGATATTGCCTGTATGTAAGCATGGTAATTTAATGTTTTTTTTCCCATCTGTGTTGTGGGACCAAAATGGATATTAACTAGAATTAATGTTTTTTAATCTTTCTTACCCCAACTGAAACACATTTGTCTCCACATGTCTCATTTAAGTCCATGTAGACAAGGTCAGCTGTTATTTAAACAAAGATAATTTAAAATCTTTACTGAAGGAGGCATTTGCCTGCAAGGCTTACTTAGCATCACTTCTGAGTGAAATGCTATCACAAACTCATTTAAAAAATAATAATAAAATACAGTTGTGTTTCCTGGCTCCTTCAGCGCAGTTTTTTTAAATTCACAGAATAAGGACCAGATCTCCCTGAGAGTCTTGTGAAAGTTAACTGTCAGCACTTAATAAAAATATGTCTCAGTATAGATGGTGGGGAGAAGCGCTCTCCACTATAATGTGTGGAATATTAATAGTTTTCAAAACTTAGCAATGTGGAATTAAGATTTGTTGCCTAGAGAGAAGTCTGCAGAAAATGTGTGGCTCAGAGGCTGTTTTGAACTCAATAGTTTCGTATTATAATTGATATATTTCATGTAAATACCATGAAACTTTGACATTTGTTTTGATTACATTTGTTTTTACGGTGCTTGTAATTTTTTGCAGA